TTACATTTTTTATTACAGCTGGGCAAACATTTAAAATATCTAAACCGTTTAAAATATTTAATGGTTTATATTAATTTATTTAAACTATTATTCATAAACGTAATCAATAAAATTAATTTAAAAAAAAATTCGACTTGATCACGTATTTCTTCATATAAAGATATGTGATCCCCTTTTTAAAAAAATGAAACTTGGAATTCATTGAAACATATATTTATTGGCGATTACAAAAATTTACATTTTTGTCAGGAAAAAATTCATTAAAATTGCTGTAAAAAATCTTTCATAAAAATTTGCAGCAGAGAAAAAAATTAAAAACTTAAAAAAAGGAACAAACATCCTCAGTCTTCCTTTCGGCTAACAGTTGGATGTGTTAAGACTTCTGGAGTCATTAAACTGTTTTTATTTATATTTTTTCTTTACTGCACAGTAATGACTCAGTAATTACATATACGAGGTCTTTCGAGTTTTAATTTTTTACACTGTGTACTGCTTTGGCACAAAAATCAAGAGAGAAGCGTGTGCATCAAAAGAGATGCGTCTTATTTTACCGTGGTGGAGAAGAGGAGTTCATAATTCTATAATTTAGAATTTATAGTTTATCCGTAATTTTTCTTCTAATGTTTTCTGTTAGTCGTCTCGGTATTGTAGTAATACTAACGATTCATTTTTTCTTATGCCAGTGAGTCACTGTTTGCACTTCGTAGTTTAAAAAAAAAATTTTTTTATTTATTTATTTACTTTTTTTTTATCAAAATGGAAAGGTTTCTATTTTTTTAACAAAACAAATTTTTTTAACTAAATTTTAAATTCTTATTTACTAAATCTGCATCAAAACATACATAAATAATAATAATAATGACGCAAAAGAAAAATTTCAGTTTATATTTATTTCCTACGTTGATATCTGCAAGAAATTTCTGTTGTTTGCACTTTTCAATTCAAGCGTACTACAGCTGAATATTAAATTTTCATACTGACATTCATTCATTTCTAGTAATTCCAATATGCCAACCATTAAATAACTTACTTAAATAAAAAATAAACCAATTACGGAAACTTTCCAAATGGGTCAGAACTTAAGGATATATAATGAAAACCTATTTTCATTCTTTTATTTACTAAATGTTTTGGATGCATTAATCGATTTATTAACCATTGTAATAAAAGTGCATGCGTTAAATTCTCACTCTAAATTATTTAACTGATAGCGATATGATAATTTGTTCCTAAACCTGAAAAGGCGGTATATGTTGGATGACTATCACTTGGAGGATTTGTAATTAGTGCAATTACAAAATTGTATATAATGTAAAAAATAATTGTTTTCAGACTTTTCAAAACTTTTTCAGACTTTAGCATTAAAAAAAAATGCTAAAGCCTATTTCATACTCTTTAGTCTGTCAAATAGCTCGTTGACAGTGAAAATTACTTTTTTCTCATTCTTCTTTTCTTCCTCGTTCCGACACGGCAATATGCCAGAAATTAATTTCCATTTACTAGTTAGTATATTCAAAATTTTAACAGACGTTTTCACTCACATAAGAACTCCGCAACAAACGTCCCTCAAACATTCCTATTCCCTCCCAGGTCCCATAAATACCTTCTCAAAAGTTTCACCGCCTGTAATAATTCAAAGTATCCCCACTGCCGATAACGGAATTTCGGACACACACTTCTGAGTAAGACACAGAAGAAAACACTTTACCGATATCCCACTAGAAAGAATATAAGTTAATTAATGCATTTTCTGGCCTTTATATCTTCATATACATTTCACATTTTACTTTCTTATTATATATATTTCAATTTTTCAATTTTTATTTGATTTGTTTTTGCAAAGATAGCATTGTTATGTTCCTTATTTTTCTCATGTTTATTTCAATTACTTTGAGTTCTATTTAGTAATTCCAATTAAGATTACAACTGTTTATTATGTTTATTTTTATAAAAATAGTCTTGAATTAACATGCATAAAAGCGAAAGTGTCGGGGGACATTTACTCAAGTATTTTGTAAATTTTACTACATAAGTTGGCTTTTCACTCAAAATTTCTAAAGAATCATGTATTAGCCAAAATGCTTCATTCAGAATGAGTTCTTTGGTACTCTGGTTATAAATCCCATCACTTCACGGAACTACAATTTTGGCCTAACTTAATTTGACAGTTTGGCATCATCATACTTTTTTACTCAAGTAAAAGACGAAAAACCTTCGTATTTATTAATTATTGTTCATTGAACGGGAGTAGGTTTGTTCCCCTTGAAAAGTCAACTAATTTCCGATCAATAGCGATGATTACTTGTTTTTTACTTTCTTTTTCAAAATTTGAAATTTTGTTATTTATGATTTAAATTCAAGTCACCTTAAAACGTTTTTTTTCATGATTTACATTCAAGTTACTTTAAAACACAATTTTCGGAATTAAACTTCCTACATATGGGCTTCCTCTTTTTTGATACATTCTACTAAATTTGTGTTAGGAGATAATATAATCAATATTTCTTTGTAAATAATTTATTAGTATCTTACTTTGCAGCTATTGCGCAAGTATTATTAGAAAAACTTGTTTTCGAACTCAGTGAAATTTTAGATCATTCAATATATATACATATATATATATATATGTATATATATTGAATAAAAAAGTATATAAGTACTTTAAAGTATATTTGATGCAGCTAATTCCGAAGTTGACATGTAACACCAAGTTATAACAATTACATTAAACAAAAGCAGTTACATTTTTTACGAAAAATAACCTACTGATAATACTACAAAAATTAATAAAACCTATGCAACAAAATCAAAAATGGTACATTAAAAAACCTACTGAAAAAACTAAAAATTTTATTAAAACCTATACAACAAAATCAAAATTGGTTCGTTTAAAAAAACCTACTGAAAATACTAAAAATTTTTTATATAAAACCTATAAAACAAATTAAAATTGGCTCGTTAAAAAACCTAAACTTTTTACAAAATACTGAGAAATTTTATAAAACAGGTTAAATTTAATAAATAAAATATTTGAAAAAAATTATTATAAATAAATAAATATAATACATTTCATATATTAATAAATAAAATATGTAAAATAAATGAAATTTTATAAATAGGTTAAATTAAAAAATTTGACCAAATAGGTCTCGCAACCTTTTAATTTACTTTCTACTTATCTTATTTCTTTTCTATATTATATATAAGTTTATGCGAATACTTGTAAACTTCTTTATTTCTTGCTACAAATTTCAGCTACAAAATCTCATAGCGTTCCGATTTTGATAACGATTCTAACCTTGAGAGCCCACCAGCGGCCGAGCGGTAAAGACGCTGAACACTGGTAGTTCGGTCTGAGGTTCGAATCCCGCGAACGGGCTGGCTGCATGGGCGTTTTCGTGGTTTTCCCCATGTGTAACGTGTATACGAGCCAGTTTCCCTTAGAAAGTCCTCCACGAAAGGCATCCCTCCCTTTAGGCAGATAGCCCTCGTGTGCTTTGCCATAATTAAATACACACCATCTAACCTTGAGAAGAAAAATTACAGAAACTATTTTCATCACGAATTGTAGATGATCATCGGTCAATGTGGTTTTTTTTTTTATTAATTTTTAACGATGTTAGCTGTTCATCTATCCAAAAAGGTGATTATTCTTATTACAAAAATTCGCAATTATCTTTTAGCAAATACGAAAAAAATTAATCAAATCTATATCTTCAAATCTTTAAATAAGATTAATACTGCTTCATATGTAGATTTTCTGAAGCGTTTCTCAGAATTGTTTTAATGGTAATTAAAATAATGTAAAATTGGACTCCAAAGCATTAAAATCTTAAACATTTTCTTCTGTTTCTTTTCATAATAAGTGCGTCATAATGATGCTATGTATTTTACTGGAAATGCATTCGGGAACCGTATAAAATTGCTTCAGAGACCGCATGCGGCCTTCGGGTCGCCAATTTGAGACCACTGGTTTACGCAATTCATAACACTGCATACTGCTTAAGCAATGATTATTAGGAATTTGTTTCAATATTTGATAGGTTTACGTACATTTGTTTCGAAGTTTAATGCAGAATTTTAGTTTAATATGCTTTCATGAAATAGATCAATTTTGAAAACAGAATAGATGGAATGAGTATTAACAAAGCAATGTAATACAATGATTCGTCAAATTTAAATACTCGATAAACAAGGAGAATCTTGCCAACGTCTCTAACATACAACATAACCAACCAGACATCGCAGTGAACACGCACTAGAGCATTATGAAAAAGTTCAGGAAATTGAACAAAGCTCTTAGGTAATTACTTTTCCTGAGGAAATATTGCTCTAATCACTTTCATAAAGATCTTTATCTACAGCATTAATTTTTTTAGGAGTTATCTGTACAAAATCTAAACTACTTCACATTTTGTACTTATATTCAGTCTTCAACTGAATACATATTTTCAGGAGTTTGACTGCTTTTGTTGTTTGTTCTTACTTGATTAATCATAAACTCGTTCTTTGTTATAAAATGTTTAATTAGAACGAAATTTACTTCTAACGTGAGCGTTTTCATTCTAACGGTCCGCTAAACTAACAATAAAATCCAACGTAACCAAGAAAGTGAGGTTCTCTTTATGATTAAACTAAATTAATCTGACCTATTAAGGAGACATCGCAAATTAAGCATTAAAAAAGTTAACTAGAAAATTATATTTTTTTAATACAAACAGTTTTCAATAATACAGGCATAATGCATGCTATGCGAAAAGACGTAAAACTAAAAATAATGTTTCAAGTTGTTAACACTTGTCCCGCTGTTAAACTGAAACACTTATGGAACTTACGAAGGGCAAATTTTTATGTAAACCAGTTTCCTGATACTTCTATAAGACTGAAATTTTTTAATTAACATATTTATACAATTAACTCTTGAAATGACAACAATGAAAAAAATGTCATTTCCGTTTAATTACAATCAATCATGTCAATCATCAAGTAAAAGACAAATGTAATTAAAAATAAAAATTTATTAAAGATAGTTACAGAAATAACTTGGATGAAGCAAAGAATAATTTAAATGCATACTTCAATTATTAAATTCTTCAAAGTTTTATAAAACTTTTAAACATTTTAAGGACGACAAAAGCTAAATAAATAAAAGAAAGCTAAGCTAAATTCGTTCAGTAGCACGTTGTAAAGTTGCATTGTACTGGTAAAGCTATTTATATAAAGCCGGTATAAATAGCTTTAAAAGAAATTCAGATGAATATTTACTTTAGGCCAAAACTTTATTGAATTTTTATTGAAATTTCTGAAAACTAAGCTACAGCCAAAAAATAAAACAATTTCTTGAATTAATAAATTAATATATATCTCTTGTTTATTTTCTTAATCCAGGATTCCCGCGGTTTACAGCTAAGGCTTCAAAACGAAACTATAATTAGAAAATAATTTATCAGTCCATTATTTTTTTAACATAAGTTCCGTATCACAAGAAGTTTGATTCCAAATCAAAACTTTCTAGTATACGCCAGAAAAATACTTTGTTTATCAAAGAATAAAGGACCGTAGAAGAGTTTGTCATCCAAGACTTGCAAAAAGAAATGCTCGGTGCAGGTATTCTAAATAACTTTGTGTCTGTCTCCATTTACATAAGACGCTTTTCACAAATTGAGAGCAAAAATGGTTGTACCACAATTTTGTGAAACTTTGAGCAAGTAATAAAGGCACATTTTAAGCTCCATGTTATTAACCAAATACAGAAAAACCTCGGATCACGAATGCTTCAAATCACAAACAGATCGATTCACCAATCTGGAAAAAAAAAAAAAAAAAAAAAAAAAAAAAAAACTGTCTCGGATAACGAATATTGGTCTCAAGTTACAAAAGCTCGAGTCAGCAACAAATAATTTTCAATAGTGTTTTGAAGTAATCCTCTGACAAAGAATGGACACTTAGGAATTTCTAGAAACACTATTTTAATATCTTACGTTGCTTAGCTCTCAGCAACAAAGCCTGGCAGTAAATGATTTGCAGGACTATCTATGACTATGGCCTGAAGGAAATTATGGACAGATTTTGAGGCAGAAATTTTGAGGGCTTTAACACTAAGGGGTTTTTGTTCCTAGGATACAAGTCTCTAGCAAAAATCAAAAATATGGAAGTTAAAAAATGAAGATGTGGATCACAAAATTGGGGTTCTAAAAGCAAATTGTGGAGGAAGTGTCTCTAAAGAAAGAGGAATCAAAGTAAAATAAACCTAGCTTTTGGGTCTGCGAAATTTGTGCAAAATTGAGATCACATCACCCTAATATACCAATTACAAGCTACAGCAAAGCACTTTAGTGACAATGCCGTCTCAATTTACGACCCTTTTAAAATACCTACAACAAATTATATTGAAAATATTTTGAGTGAGACGGAGGCTTAGTTAATCTCAAGCCTCCGTCAAATGGCGCTCAGAGCCAAAAAAAAGACAGAAAGATAAAAGACTATATCTCAGAAAGACTTTTAGTTACATGATGATTTTATGGAACAAGAGTTTTCATCCACAAAAAGAAATCTGTCTTCTTTATCGCTTTCCATTTATGCTATCCACTCTCCTTCTTATGAACGTAGTAAAATTAAATTTTTACTTAGTTTACCTATTTTCTTCTGTGTTTACTTTTCTGGGCCTTAGATTTAATGACTTCAATTTTTTTTGTGCTATAAATTTGCACGCAAAATACTAGTGCAAATTTTAAATAAGCGATTATTTGTGGTTCAGGAATGCATTAATCTGTCTTACACGAATTCCTTTGACGAAAAATGACTTGTGAACATTTTGTATGATGAACGGTCCTTAAGAACGAATTAAATTCTAGAACTGAAGCTTCACTTCACTTGAAAATACTTTTTTTTTTTCCATTCACTTATTATATCTTCTGATAAAATCATGTTTACTTCCCTTCTAAATATTTTTTCTCAGTGTATACTTACTCATACGATCGTCGTGTATAGCACATTTTAAAAGCATTGCTACAGGCCTTATTTCCTTAAATACTGGTCTTAGACGTATAGAATAAAAATTCTAAAACTTCGATAGCGAATTTTATATAAAAAAAAGTATTTCAACGCTGTCGAGGGGCATTCTGTGAAGCCTAACATTTTATACTGCTCCCATAGAGCAAAATTTCATTACTAGTTACATATCTCATTAGGTAAGGTGCAGGATGTTATAATGACTTTCTAATAGTATTGAAAATATTATTCACTATTTAGTGCAAGATTTCTTGAATATACTTAAAACATCAAAGCATACAATGACGTTTTCTAATGAATCATAGCCACCAAACTATTTCTCAAATAATTCAAGTTAAATCGCCTCATGTATATTTAAGCTCATGATCACTGTACCTGTAATCACTCACTGCTAAGGTTGTCGAATGTATATTGCATTGGGATTTTTTTCGGCCTGCTATACAGCTAACATGCACTCTAAAAGAAGATTTTTGAATAATATCGGAAAATTCTAATTGGCTAAAATCCGATAATTGTAATGATTTGATATCATGTTTGGCAATATTTAAAACATTTTAGGTTCAGAATGTTGTCAAATTCAAAACGATGTCTTTTTCTAGCAATGGGTATAAAATTTAAATAGAAAAATGCAACAAAAAGGAATTTAAAAAGTCTTGTTAAAATTCTTTTGCGTAAAAATTACTTAGTAATTTGACTGGATTCGAATCTGGGTGGAAAGGGTGGATGAATAGATGTTTACGTTGATTTTCTCATATATAACACGAATACGAGACAGTTTCCTTTAGTGTCTGTCCTCCGAAGGAATCTCTCCTGCTAATAAGATAGTCTATACGTACTTTGACATAAACAAGCAACAAATTAATTTGGCTTTCACTTAGTCTTTAAAGTAATTTTTTAACATAAAAGGATAATTTTGGTAACTAGCAAAAATTCAACTTTAAAAAATACAAAGTTACGGTTTTTAAAAATTTTTAATTTTAAAATAAATGTTTTAAAATTTATTAATAAAAAATTGAATCCATGAGCATTAAATTATGAATGAAAATTTCATTAAGTCATTAAGAAAATCATTTCCTGAGCCAGATTCTAAATCCAAAGTGCTAAATGCAACATTTTGCATTGAATTTCAACATCGGTTTCATTAAATATTTTAATTTTAAATTTGCCTTTTCATATTAAGGATAAATATCTAATATTCCCTATAAGGGGCGATATTTCATTTGCATTATGGTGTTAACGATTTGAGGCGATATTAGAAATAGCTATAAAAGATGATGCAAAGAATCTTTTGGTATATGATCTTAAAAATGTTTTTTGAAGCTCGCTTTGATCATCAGTAATTCCTTGTAATTCAAATGCAAAATTCTTTAAGACCAAGTATTTAAAAATGCAATTTATAATATACGACATTTAAAAGGTATTGCACTTTCGGTGCTAAAAGTATATACTTCCGTCAATATTGTAAAAGTTCCATTAAAATAAAAAATGAACAGCATGTGAAATATCATATACACCATATAAAATGCAACCAAATGATTAGCATTCTATAAATATGAATTAGAAAAATTTCTTGTTTCTCACTACAATTCTTCTAATAGCTGACTATTCAATGGTCATAGATAGCCCAAAATAACAATTTAGACTGATAAGCAACTGGATAAAATAGAAGGATCTGAATGGCTATGTAATTAGATAAAACATCAGAATAGAAAATGGCCCGCGAATATCAGGAAATGCTCTAACATAAACACAGAACCATATCGCACTTTTGGAAGAGGACAATTGAAAAGGATCAATCAACATTGCACTATATTAATGGAAAAAACACTTTAGTACACGAAGTTTTAGTCATTATTTCGTCGGCCAACAGGGGCTTTATTCTCGACCGTATCAAAAGTTTTTCGTTAGGACCCAGCTTTAAGAAGTGGCTTATGACAAAAAGCTTTGAATTCTGGAACAATTAAAGTTTAAGCCAGAAGAAGCTGCGAGAAATGTTTAAGCACAAACTTCAAATAGCTAAACATATTGTGCAAAGACTGAAAGCTTGTATTGAGGAAGATGATGTCTATTTTTGCCGTTTATTGTGCCTATTTACGTATGCAATACGTTTATTCATGTATACTTTAATCTTTAAATATACGTAACTTTAAAGGATAGGCTGCGTTTTATATGGGGAAAACTTATAATTTCTATAGCTTATAATTTTTATACCTACTATTTATACAAAATGATAAAAGTTTCATTCTATCAGCCATTAAATTCGAAATATTACGCCAACCTGAAAATGTTTCTTTTGCCATAAATAAATGATGCACTATAAAATGCACTTTGGGGCTCGGATTTTCACTTTACCCTTGCCAATAGTTTAGAAGGATGTTAATTATTTTATTAGCTGCAGGCACGTCTCATTAGATGACTGCATCATTGAAATTAAATGCAGATATTCGTCAATACAGTGGAATTCAATAAAACTGTGTTTTTGATTAAGATGGTTCTTGCTCTTCAGTATTCGAATGTTTCTTGCAGGTGCGGTAGATGGGTTCTAAAAACCATAAGAGACCACACAAGACAGCTGCACTTCCCAAAAAGTGGAACAGATGATCGTAACTGCCCATGGTGTCGCGGAAATAACCTGTAAACAAAAATAACATGTACAGTAAGTTAAAGAGATGATGAATACGTCATTCAGTGTATATAATACATAGCGATATTGAAACTGGTTATTATAAGGAGCAAAAATACATGCAGTTTTATTATTTTAGGATCATATCTAACAGTCATAAAAACACAGACTGGAGCATTTTTGACTAGCCATTTTGAAAGTAATATAGTCCGCACTAGAGACATTAAAACTCTTAATATTTTGTATTACCTTTTTCGTTACACTTGCCCATTTTCATACGTGGTACGTGGACTTAAGCACTGTGCTTAATGTGCATTTGTTACAGTTATTTGTGAAATACTATGTGTATCAAATGACCACCTCGTTTAGCAATGCACTGCACAAGACAGTTGCGGACACTGCATAACACGGTTAGGTATTATTTGTGATTATGCATTCATTTACCTCCTGATTAGTTGCTTCAGTTTTTACAGGCTTTCCACTCTGGTTGCATAAATCATACCATTCAAGTGTCACCAAAGGAAAAAAACGGGGGATCTGGCAGCGAACTGAAATATCAGCAAAACGCAGAAGTCTGTTTCTAGAGAACTTCTGTCATTTTCCAGCCACGCATTGTAGCCAAATCTCAATTTGCAAAAATTATTCAATTGACAGTTTAGTGCTTCACCAATAACTGCAGCAAATGCACACAGAACGAAGTTCTAAAGCCTGCGTGGCATATACAGGGTGTTTCATAGATCATGGGACAAACTTGAAGGGGTGGTGGAGCGTAATAAAACATGCATTTTTGTATAGGAATGTAGGGTCTAAAGTGACGGGTTAAGGCAGGAACGAAAAAAAAAAAAAAAAACACTACAGGGAAAATGTGTTTATGTACAAAATCAACGCAAAGTGATTCTTTGTAGCAATACAGTATTCACAATAAATGTTCAAAAATTGCGACCACCAGCTTGGTAACGTCGCAGATACATGCTTGGTAACGTCGCAGAAGGGATTGACGAACATTTTGAAAAACGACAGGCATTTCGCGCACGCTTGCAACTGCAATGGATAGTCGTGCAACGAGGTCCTCCAGTGAGTCAACGGGAGTTTCGTAAATGATGCTCTTCAGATGGCCCCATAAAAAAAATTCCAAGCTGGATAAATCTGGCGACGGGGTGGCCATCGAACGGGTCCACCATGGCCAATCCATCGGCCCAGAAATGTCCCATCCAAGTAATTGCGTACCCGCACGTGGTTATGGGCTGGTGCACCATCATGCTGGAACCACATGCAATCACGAACGACAGCCGGAACATCCTGCAGCAATCCCTGTAGCACCTCTTGCAGAAAAATATGATAACATAAGCCATTTGTAAGTATAGGTAAGAGGTATGGGCCTATGAGGTAGTCGTTAAAGAATACCCGCCCTCACATTCACGGAGAACCGGATTTAGAATGCACGTGGACGTGTGCCATGTGGATTATGAAGTGTGGATTATGAGTTGCCCACACGTGCATGTTGTGGTTATTGAAGATACCGTCCTGTGAGACAGTTGCCTCGTCCGTGAATAGCACATCCGATGGGAAATCCGACTGCGCCGCACACTGCTGCAAGAACCAATGACAGAAATGAACTCGAAGAGGGTAATCTGTCTCTTGCAAGGCTTGGACTCTCTGCAAATGGTATGGGTGCAAACCATTTTCATTCAATACTCTCCAAACGGTGGAATGACTCAGCTGCAGACGGCGTGCAATAGCTCTTGTACTTGTCTGAGATGATTCATGCACAATGTTCAAGATGGATTCTTCAATGCGAGGTTAACGTGCACTTCTTCTTCCACTCCTAGTGTCAGAGGTGGCTTCAAATGACCCGTTTTCACACAGAAACCAATTCACCTCTCGAACATTGTGTGCTTCGGCATACGCCTGTTCGGAAACCGTTCCTGGTACAACCGTAGCCCTGCTCTGCCGTTCTCATTAGCAGCGCCATACATGAGATACATGTCAGCTTTTTCCCTGTGCGTAAACTCACCCATCACGCTCGACATCAGAGTTGCGAGTGATCCTCTGATGCATCGGATCGTGGTTAGTCCGGCTCACTACCGCTCTCTACCGCTGCATTGCCAGCCAATCACAGCTGTAGTTCCTATAACTGTTTGTGTTCCCTTTTTTGAACATTTATTGTGAATACTGTATTGCTGCAAACCATGTGACTGTGACGCTACCTGAACTTTATAACCATCCTGCATACCCTGGTCACCTGCATAATTCCTTCGCTTAAATATGGCATACGTTTATTGTATAGCGTATATCGTAATGTATGTGTAATTCCAATGTATTTATAATGTAAGAATATTGTAATGCATGCGTATTTACAAAGTAACTGTAATGTATGTGTAATTGTAACCACGTAACATGTGATTATAACGTTACCTGTACTGTAAACTACCCTGCATACCCTGGTCATCAGCATAATCACTATGCTTAAATATGGCATACGTCTTTTATATAGCGTACATTATAATGTATGCGTATTCCTAATGTATTTATACGATAAGAGTTCAGTGTGGACTGTGCAAAACCATGTCATCAGCATATTCATAAGGCATAAATAAGCCATTTGCACATTGTAATGTGCATATATCTATCAGTGGACACCTGTGGCGCATTATGCACAACAATGTCATCTGCACTGTAAACTGGAAACGTCTAAGTCCTTTGTAACGTTACTATATTCTACACTCCTTCCTCTGGGCCGCTCCAGATAATGGTGGACGTGATGCTGTACTGATTAACCATTATGGTAAAGGGACAGTGCCGACGTCCTCCGTTGCTTGTCGCTTGTATTGCTGCAAAGAAGCACTTTGCGTTGATTTTGTACATAAACACATTTTCCTCTGTGTCGTTTTTTTTTTTCGTTCCTGCCTTAATCCTGTCACTTTAGACCCTACATTCTTATACAAAAAAAATGTATGTTTCAGTACGCTGTACCACCAAGTTTGTCCCATGATCTATGAAACACCCTGTATGTAAATGGGACAAAGATAGCGAAAAAGATGGTATAAAATATTTGGAGTTTCATTAGCTATGTGGCAAAATATATTATTTTCAAAATGAGTGATCTAAAATGCTCCAACCTACGTACCGGGCTAGAAATATTGTTTATTTTCAGTTTTAAGCAAAGAATGCTATTGGCTTTATTGAAGTGCCGAAGCCTGCCATTGTTTTCAAAACACAAATTCAATAAGTATCTCTCTAGAATAGTATCTCTCTTTTAGAAGAGTTTTTATTGATCAAAATGTTTTTCGACGTATATACAGCTATGCCCGTCACTTTATTCATATCAAAAACCTATTTCGAAACTGATATTTTATTTTTAGTTATGTAAAATTTAAATATTTCATTTTTCAGTTTTGCCAGGACCCCTGAATTGATTTTGAACTTATGCCCTGAATTCCAGTTTTGCCAAGGACCCCCGAATTTAAATATCTAGGTTAAACTTATAGCGTTTCATTTTTCAGAATAAATATAAACTTTTACTAATTATAACTACAGGTGAAGGGTAACTATATAAAAATTACTAGATTTTGCAATTATTGTAAAACTAATTTTTAAAATTTACATATACCACAATATGAATATTTTCCTTGTGTCTGGAAATGTAATCCACGATCAAGAGTTATTAAAAAAGAGACTGCTTAGTGACTGAACTCATATGGACACTGTATAAACACACAAATTAATTTTCAAATCTACGATTTTGTGCTATGAGATATGGCTTGGGAAGTTGTTTATTTTAGTTATCTATTATCCTGATAAATGTAATTCAAATAATATTTTCATATGCTTGTAGAGATATTAAGTTATTTTTAAGCAAGAGACGTGAAAAATAAGCAATGCCCTCGCCGGGACTCGAACTTGGACCTCTCGAATACGCGCCGAATGTGCTACCGCTACACCACGAAGGCATGCAGGAAGGAGGGGGAAAATATAGCATTATTACTTCTTTCGTTTTGGTTTCAGGCAGAATAACAATTTTTCATACTCATTTTATCAAATTCAATTACTCATCGTTATAGCCATTAGTACGGTAAAATCCTCTCGCGGCGACCATTTACACAACCACCTCTAAAAATGACTAGTATATTTAAGAACATAAACATCGGCATTAATAATTACACTACTATTCTTTCTAACCCAAAAGAGATCATGGGATACGGGTTAAGGCGATGCATTAGTTTTGCCATAAAACTGCTTTATGCATTAAAAATATCAATGAGCTACATTATCAGTTTTTACTAAAACAGATTAACTATTTTTATATAAAAAATTTCTTAATAATTTCTAAATCATTAGTTTAATCTTTTTTATTTCAGCCCGATGTATAATTTATCATATAAACTTCATTCAGCGATTGTGATCAGTATTCTTCAAAGCAGCCATCACATTTCTAATTTGTTTACACTAATTATTTCATTCTCTGTCTTTAAAGCTGCCAATAAAAAATTACTCTTTAAAGTTGGCAATAACAAATTACTGTCTGAAGTTGTGCCCAGCAGGTCCTTAATGTTACTGTAATAGGTCGCCGCCTTTCATTCGAAATTGAACATTTCGACGCATGTACGAGTTTATTTTAAATTTTGTCAATCTTAGGAGATGAATCTTGGATTAAAATCTCAGCAAAGCAGAAAAACAAATAAAAGCATAGAATTTAGACATAAGATTAAGAGTTATAGAAGATACTGCTTACGGTATGCAGAAAAAGAAGTTGGGAAGGGAATACGACTGATGGTTGATAGTATTAAGATAATTAACTCACTTTGTGAAGTTCGCTTATAAGGTATTTTCTTCCTTTTTTTTTTTTTTTTTTTTTTTTTTTTTTTTTTTTATGTCTTCGTGGTGTAACGGTACCACAGTCGGCGCGTATTCGAGAGGTCCAGGTTCGAGTCCCAGCAAGGGCATTGCACATTTTTCATGTCTTCTGCTTCAAAATAACCTAATGACGCTACACGTTTACAAAAGGAAGCGATTAATGAAGAAAAAAAATAAAATAAGCAGACCTCATTGGATGAATATTTTTATAATCAGTGACTATGTTAATAATTAACTCACTTTGTGAAGTTCGCTTATAAGGTATTTTCTTCCCTTTTTTTTTTTTTTTTTTTTTTTTTTTTTTTTTGTCTTCGTGGTGTAACGGTACCACAGTCGGCGCGTATTCGAGAGGTCCAGGTTCGAGTCCCGGCAAAGGCATTGCACATTTTTCATGTCTTCTGCTTCAAAATAACCTAATGACGCTACACGTTTACAAAAGGAAGCGATTAATGAAGAAAAAAAATAAAATAAGCAGACCTCATTGGATGAATATTTTTATAATCAGTGACTATGTTTCAAATACTTAGCAAATTTATATTGTAAGTTCCTTGATTTTTTTTAACACATGTAAGATCTGTTTCTTGTGGAAAAATAAGCGCTGGGAGAAAGCTTAGATTCGTGCAGCCATTATACAAAACTCAAGTGAATTTTACGTAAAATTTACTCCAAAGAGAAATGCTTTGCCAAGGGGAGGAGTAGCCTAATTTTATACTTAGCTTGCCGTATAGCTTTTACATTTGTCTACGTCATTTAAACTTTTATTCACTTAAAATATTTCATAGTTTTATATAATTAATGTAATGGTATTAATAAAATGATATATTAACATACTTTAGAATTCGTTTTAAAGAACTCTCAAATTCTCGACTAGGGTAAATTAATGCAAATTCATAAATATCATTACCGACAATCTCTTCTCACAAAAGTCTAAAATCACCTGGACATTTAATGGATCATAATAGAGAGGTTTTCAGTTGTTCATTTGCATATTCGTTTTTCAAATGACTGTCACTGTACACTAAAGGATAAGTACATATATTACATATTTTCTGATTTAGAACTCGTCTTCAAAAACTTTAAAACATCAATCCGTTCAAGAAACACAGCATAGCCAACAACTCTAGCTACAATTTTGTAAGAGGTCCTTATGAAAGAAACTATAGTTTAATGTCTGAATAACATATTTTATTTCATGGGAAAATGCGTTTTTTGTTACATCAATCACAGTTCAGCTTTATTATAAGAATTAAAATTTCTGTTTTTAATTCTATTCTGTAATCGTGAAATGAGCATTTCTTAGTGTTAAAATATATACTTATGGTAAAATTGTATAAGCCAACTTGTATACGGTCACTGAACCTAAAAGAGAAACAGTCAAAATTTCACCTAGCATTGAAACCGGTTTTAACATTAATCGAAGGATTCAAACTTCACTAAAATTTATTCATTTGTATCTATATATACATAGAAATAGAATACGTATTACCATACATTTTTAACATTACACACTGCAAAGCTAGGCTATTTATTTTGAACTATATAATTTTAGTACCCAAAACTTTTAACACTAGACTGAAATATTTTATTGCCACTGATGGGCTTTTACGTCGATGTCTAAGAGTATTAATTGTAAAAGAAAAAAAAAATGTTCTTTTTCAAATTTTTCACAGTGATTATCATGATAGTATAGTCTCCTTCAGCCGCATTTTGTGCTTAAGACACCTAAGCTCTTAAAATATTGTGATATGTTGCAGAAAAAAGAAGATAGAAGTACGTTACGTATTTTATAGAATCATAAATTTTTATTTAACCTTGTAATTTTTGTACGTACGAGTTTATTTGTGACAGAAGTAAAAACAGCATCAATCGACGTTCGTATCTAGCAGGCCTTCTGCATTATTTTAAAAGCAATTTATATCAATATGTTTCTTGAACAGAAATTATATATTTATATTTTTTTTTACCTTAAAGAAAACAGTATATCTGTCATAAGGTTTGATCGATATATTGCGAGGAATACCCCGGAAGGTAGGAATCCGCTATATCTCAGCCGAGATCTATTGGAAAAGCCAAACTTCAGCAATTATAAAACAAAAAGGTTATCAGATAAACAGTTCTAGAATGCCGAAGAAAGCGAGACAATTTCTGAAGTGGCCAGAAGGTATAAGCTGGGTAGAAGATTTTTCTGCCGAAAGAAAGTGAAGTAAACTATGAAATTCAAGACCGTAAAATGGGTTTTATTCAGCTCAAGAGATTAAATTAGCTTCACATCACATTTGAAAATTATGGTTAAATGCAGATTGCCATTAAGCAAAAGGAAAGTAACAGAAGTAATTCCTGAGTTTATTGAGACTAATGGAACTGTAGTACGATCAAGGAATAATGTGCTTGATCATCAATGGTTCAAGAGCTTTTATATGCGTAATCGAATTAAGCTTGAATATGCTTGATCTTTGGAGCAAGGAAGAGGAACGAATCTAGAGACTGGTTGTTAGAATACGGATTTCAAGACATGTACCAACACGGCTTGGTTAAATGTTAAAACTATTCAAAGACAAGTGGAAATGAAAGTTGTAGAATGGCAGTGTCTCAGTCGGAGTTAAAATTCGTTGAAGATTTTGTCAAAATACGAATTCATTGCTTTGTTCGTAACATTATTGACTAAGCCTGCAAAATTTAGCACCCTGCCTTGAAATGAATACAGTTTCAAATTTTCGTGTCATTGGAATTTTTCCATTTGCCAGAAGTCGATATTAAAAAACAGATTAGATCCAGTTAAATTAAAGAAATAGAACTTAGACAGAGAACTATAAAAGACTGGATGCATCATTCCCTTGAGATTTCTTCTGAAGAAAATGATACTGCTGCTGACATGACTGTCGAATCCTCAAACGCTATTCTTGGTCCATGATATGGAAATGCAAGAGCATCCAGCAGTAACACTTTATTTGAATGAATCTTGTAAATAAAATTAAAAGGCCTCCTTTGAAATGGAGAAATATACACCCAACCAGTAAAGTAACTATACCAGAAGATCATATTAATATGATCGCATAGGAGGAAGAAGCAAATTAGGGAAGAAACAACAAAGTTGAGTCAGGAAATGAAGAAAAGAAAGATGTTAGTGACAGAGATTATACAACTGGATAGTGTGTCAGTGATTCACAAGTACAGAAACGGGTATCGAAGTCTTTTAAGAACTGTTATTTTTCCCAGTTTATTTTGCTGTTGAATGTTGTTTTCAAATCGTAGAAATTAAGTCAATAAAATTTAGCAAAAGTTAATACTGAATCATACTGTCTCACGTATATTTTCTAATGCCTTAAATGCTACTCACTTTGTTTATACAGTTTTTCTACCATTTAAAAACATATAACCATAATTCCTCAGTTTTACGGGTAGTGTGCCTCATACTCGTATATTGAAGAATTTATCTTTAAGCATGAGACACGGTCTTTATCCCTTATCACATTTAAAGATTATATCATTATGTCACTGTTTATCTTCATTGTACTGACAGATAAATATTTTCATTTGTTATCATATAACACCTAAAACACAGAAATAGTCTTAATTGCACTTGAAATGTTACACAATTTTTAAAATGCGTCATTTTTAGGTTGAATGACTATACACATTTTGTCAATAAATTAGCCCTGATTCTGAAAACAGCTTGTAAATTTTTATATTCATTTTCCAGAAATGAATATTTAAAATTCTTCAACTAGCTTTTTTGTTGATCTATCAATATTGTAGTAGAACTAAGGAAAAAATTGTAAAAAATGCTTTTTGTAAAAGCAAAAGATTGTGATAATACTTTACCTGTTAGGACAGGTGTGATCAAGGACACAACACCAATGGAGAAATTCATGAGTCCAATGGCCATTGGTAGTTGCTTCAGCCCCAAATACTCTTCCAGAATAGCGTAGAAGATAATTAAGTTTATGCCTACTAGTAAGCCAGTGACTGCAGATACTGCCGTCACTGCTGCATAGGAGGTTGTGAACGAAGTTGTTATCAGAAGACCACCTACGGCTAACATGTTTCCCATCATGAGATGCTTCCTTTTCAGAATACCGCTATCTGTGATCCACCCAGATCCTAAACGTCCACAGAGATCTGCTATTGAGAAAGTGGACACTAGGAAAACTGAATCTGTCCTGTCTACGCCCAAATCCAGCGAATAGTCCACTATCACAATTAAGTAAGTCATATAAGATAAAAAGAAAATGCAGTAGTTGGTTGCGATGATTAGGAACATCGGATTCTTCAAGATTTCACCAGCAGCTCTAAGCGGTTCGGTCAAGCTACGAAATTTCCTCTTAAGTTTTTGCTTTTTTTCAGATTCACTGGCTGTCAAATGAAGATCCGGATGTCGCTCCGATGCAATATTCTTTTTTGAAGGTCCATGAACTTGCTGAATGTTAATGTGAGGGTCATACTCTGATTCAAGGAATTGGAGTTTACCATACTTTTGGGCATTAGATGATGATGATGATGACTGCAATACCACAGCATGCTTATTGCTCGAAATAAAAGCCACCGCTTCATCATCCGTGTCCAGGTCTCCATTAGGTGAAATTAAATGTTCATCCGGTACGCACACAGAAGTAAGTTCATCTCTCTGACTGGAATGTGCTGCGACAAGAAGACCGTGCGTTACAGTTCCGTTTTCTATACTTTTATTACTTTCTTCTGAGACATGGATTCCATTAACAGAGGCTTTACCATCTTTAGCACCACCAAGAAGACTTTTGACTTCTTCCATTCCCAAGATATTCGTATTTTTTGAAGTCAAGAAGTTTAAATTTTGATCTCCTGAAAAAATAAAAACAAAATATTATCATTCGTATCATTATACGAAAACAGAAAGAATGAAAAACCTTACAAAACAGGTGGCATTAAATTTCGGCAATAAATAATGTTTTACCGAACGTCTAGAACAGTGTTTCCAAACCTTTCTTGTGCTATGCCCCACTTAATCCTCTCTAACATTCTTATGCTGCCCCTAACACATACATAATTTTTAATATAAAAAATTGAAATTTTCACGAAAGAAGCATGAATGATGGGATTTAGGAAGAAATCACTAGGAAATTTTGTGAGCAGACCAGTAAATAAACTTTCAAAAAATATAATGGAGAACTGAAATTCAAGTACAAAAACATTTTAATGGAAGTTTTTTATGTATTATTTTTAGTAATTATTTATTATTTAAATTTAGCGAGACTTGATGCTTGCTGCAAAGAGATTTTATGTCAGGTTGCAATTTAGTTAACTTCAGCATCTTGTCTCTCCGTTTTATTTTATCCAACCGATTTTTTTAGCAGCAAATCATTTATGACACTAAATCCGCATTCAACTAAATATGAAGATAGAAATGGTAACAATAGTTCTTTTGTACATTCTGTTGCATTTGGATATTTGATTTCTGTTTCATCACAAAGCTGTGTCATCGCTCCTTTTACATTAAATAAAGTTTTAATTGACTCATCATTTTGCATTTCAGCGAGTCTTGATACTGCATATTTGAAACATCAGCCAAATCCAGTAACATTGGCTGCATCATTAAAAATGGAAAATCAATTTATTTCAAATCAGAAAATGTTTTTTTTTAAAATAAGCCGGTAAAAATTTCAAATGATCGACAATAACATGTATAGCGGCATCAGTCACTTCACATTTTTAGTGCCAATGAAATTTTTCAAAATTTTTGCTGTAAATAGTATATGCCTGACATAATTCAATAAAGGTAAAGGTAATGAAACCAAATAACTTCGCTTTTGCATCAATAAATTTTATTTGATCCTTGAAAGTTGCTTATTTAATATACTTAGTTTCTCAAAGATATCAGCTAAATAACTCATAAATGCCTTACCATCAACAGTTAACAGATTTTTCTTTTCAGGTTGGTCACTTAAAAAATAACTAAGATATCAATCAGTTCCATAAATCTTTACAAGCAGTTCCCTTTCGACAGCCATCTTACTTCAGTATGAAGTCTCATATAGTCTTCATTTTGTTCTTCACAAAATAACTTGAAGAGACGTTCACATTTGGTGCTAGCTTCAATAGCATTGATACACTTTATAACTGAATTTAGAATAGGCGAAATGTTTTTAGTTATCAGGTTTTTTTCCCCATGAATAGCCTAATGCACAAGAAGCATTTCTTCCATCTTCCATCAGTTTTAAGCAATCCTTTTTTTCCCAATATATTAGAAGCACCATCTGCAGCACAAGATGTTATATTTTCCACTATAAATATCTTTAGAGGCAGTGATACTTTCTAATGATTTACGGAACAACATTTCTTCGGCAAAATCACTTTTATCAATATATCTTACGTAAGTACGGTCTCACTATCTCTCAAAGTTGATTCATCCATTTGCACCGAAATTTTTCCTGTTTTCAGCTTTTCAACAAGTTGTATTTCAATATCCTCACTCATTTCATCTATTCTTCTGCTAACATTATTGTTGTTTAGTGGCATAGCTTTAACGTCTCTGTCATCGTTTTCTAGAGCCGTTTTAAGAAATGTTGATACTGATGGTTTGATTAAATTCTCTTCTATAGTATGACTTTTCCCAGATTTAGCAATGAGTAATGAAATTTGCTAACTAGTCTCAAGAGCACGAGTAACAGCTGATTAACGATTATGAGCAGTAAATAGAGACTTTAATGTTATTTTTCTTTAACGTTTGAAAATAATTCAAATCTGAATGAATATGAGCATTATGTTTCGTCTTCAAATGTGCCTCAAGACGACTTCGTTTCATTGATTCATTGGTCAGGCATTTTTGGCATAAAAGACAAAAAGTTGACCGTTCATCGTGTACAGCGGGTATGTGTGTGTGTGTGATTATGGCAAAGCTTCGAGGGCTATCTGCCAAAGGGGAGGGATGCCTTCGTGGAGGACTTTCTAAAGGAAACTGGCTTGTATACACGTTACACATGGGAAAACCACGAAAACACCCATGCAGCCAACCCGTTCGCGGGATTTGAACCTCGGACCGAACTACCAGTGTTCAGCGACTTTACCGCTCGGCCGCTGGTGGGCCCCTACAGCCGGTATGAAACCAAATTTTAAGTCTTCTAAACACTGATGAACTTTTTTCTTGCTTGCACCATTTATTTGACTAAGGACTGAAATAAATAAATAAAAGATCAATTAAACTTCCTCACACAGATAAATATAAACAAAGCGGAAAGCAGCTGCTGTTGCCATTCAAGGGAAGAATATTTGTTGCAGTTTCTGCAATAAAAATAAAATGAATTCGTTCGATTTTTCTTATGATGACAGTTGCTTGTACTCAGTGTTTAAATTAAAAACTGCATAACACTTGAAAACTTATGATTACGTAAACTGGTCTGAAAAATATGTTTTCGGTATTAATATTTAAAAGAAAAATTTTAAACACTTGAAATAACGAAGTTAAAACAATCATTCTGAGATTTTCTTTTAATTCAACAGATTTTATTCAACTCTTACAGATCGTATATGTCATTTATCCAGCAAGAATTATTCATCTTACTCTGCTAATAATGAAGAAATGTTATATGCAATGATTATTTCATAACATACTTGTAATACAGAAATGTCAAGTTCAGAACAAGTCCATGATTTTTATACGTCGGACCTAAAAGCATCCAGTGATATTCCAGCACAAAAATGGCACCCAGTGACATTTACCAATAAATGAACTCATTAAAAATTTCTCAGTGACATTTACTAATTAAGAGAACTTATTGAAAAGTTTTTAAATTCCGTTATTTACTAAAAATACTTTTTTAATATTCTTACTCTGTTTAACTTAGAAGAAATGAAGGAGTTCTTTGGTACTACAGCATGTTCAAACATCTTGTGATTGCTATTCCAGGTTAAATAACATATTTTTCACTTCATCACAACTGGGAATTTCCCATCTTGATTATTACTTGATGAGACATCAGCAGTAAAAATATTACTATACTATATTGTGCAATATGGTACACTCATTAGTTATCTTCATGTCTGTTTGATTGATCACAGAAAAGCAAACGAAGTCCATCAGCCTCAGGAAAGATGCTTTTGTGGAGGACTTAGTACGCCTTTGAACTGTGTGGAACAGAATCTGAGACGGACATTTAGTGTTTCAACGATCTTCGTCCCTCGGCTAACAGATACACCTGCATTAGTTATTTAGAATGTTACTTGATATTCAGAATGTTTTAAGTTACTATATTGCTTAAATTTCAAATTAATAGGTAATTTTTAATTAGTATATTTTTCGACATTTCTGTTTGAATTAGTATGCAACATGCTTTTTTAATAATTCTAGAATTCCTTTATAAAGAACGTTCGTGATTCTACATTAAACTTCGATATAACGGAACAGAAAAAAGGCTTACAGAATATGCTCATTTACATGAAAAACGCATGTCCAATATGAATAGAAAAATGAGGTATAAGGGAATAAACTAAACAAAAATTTAACTGTAAGTAAGAGTTATTTTAGCAGATTCTATCGATTTCGAGAAAATCAGGCAACGCAATTATTACACTAGGCAGATTACTTTTGTTCTTTAAAGGAAAAACCTCTTTTTTTGGGAGGGGGCAATGAAAATGCTTTCCTAAGTAAAATATTTTTTATTCTTAGAAAGTTTTCCAATCTTGAACACTCAATTTTTCTGAAAAAAAGTGCATATGCGCATATTCATCTATAAATACATAATAGTAAAAGAATTAACTGCTAATATTCTATAGATATAAAAGTTAAAATACTGCAGATCTATACTTGACAAAATTCAAAATTTTCAAAAGTTCAGTTTTGAAAATTTGGTTTATAGTTTATAGTTTTGCAACAAAACTATGAAACATTGAATGAAGAGATAAAAGCGAAAGATTAATATTTTGGCTGTCAAAAATAGTAATTAAAAATGGAAAAAATAAACAGATCTAAAAATTTAGGATATCATTCCTTTGTGGAAATTTGACTGGAACATCCATTTTTAGTAAATCTAGATATTTTAGCACGATACAGACATTACACACTTTAACATTATAATAGATGCGCTGATTTAATACTAAATATGTAATCTGTTCTACAAAGTTGCAATTAACGAAATAAGTTTCAGCAATACAAGCTTACTGGTGATCGAGTGGTATAGTTCGAAGAGAGTTCAAATCACGGTGAACATATTCCCGAAGAAAATGCTTTCGGGCTTAGCACGGCTAACATCAATACATTTTAATTTCTCCCAATAAAATGTGCTGCAAATTTTTTGACCTGCCTATATTCATTTTGGACACATTGCACACTATATTTTTCTTTGTGGGGGAAGGGTTCTTTCTCACAGATTCATTTATGATGAAACACCCGTGAATTCTCTTTCAGATGTATTATATAATTCATTTACAGGTTGATAAAGCGAGGTTTTTAAAGTTAGGATTAGTTAACCTCTACAGTGGTTTGATGGGAAAACAAAAATTAAAATACTATTTGAGGTGTGCGCGATCCAAGCACAGACAACAATGTTTGAAATGGCAAAACTTTGTGAGAATATTTTCTTGATCCAAGCTTATCGGACGAAAGTAATTCTTAAAACTGGAAAATCTCTACATAAAGATTGCCTTTCGTAGCTAAAAATGTTCTGTTTCTTTATTTTATTTCATCTACAGGAAATCATTTGTTAATGTTCACGCAATAGCTTTCTTTCTGAACGCAGGAAATCCATTGCATTCTTTTCCAAAATAGGCTTCATGTAAGTGCAGATTGCAGTTTTACTGAAAAATAAGGAACCTTTTCTATAAAAACAATTGTAATTATTGGAAGTAAAGGAGTACATAAAATAACTAAAAATGATTTTCCTCAATTAAAAGTATATAATATTAAAAAATTTGACTGCTAAATCAATGTGAATGGGAAATGAAAATGTATAAGTCTTGCAGCGCTGTCTATGACATTTCATGAAATTTTAAACGTTCGTTGGAATGCTTTCTACTGGTGATCAAAAATCCCATCTTTGACAATTTATTTTGGATATTTTTATAGAATTTTAACAGATAATTTTTTTACTGTAACGTATTTTTTGAAATCTTTGAAAAGTACTGAGATTTTAAGATTCAGCATTTATTCAAAACGGTTTAATTCTGCTAAATTTTCTTGTAATATTTAATAAATAAATTTTTATTTTTATAAAAAAAAAACTTACTAAATATATTTCTAATTCGTGATAAAATTCACTTTTTATTTTCTGACATCTTCATACTATTAACTTACATTCTCCAAACTGATTTTTCAAAGTCGTTAAGTATTGTATATTACCTATTTAAAAAACATGTTTTTAGTTTGCATAAACTATTTGCTTAATTGAAATGACTAATTTCGACAAAATACTTTTGAAATAGGGGTTTATGAAATATGTTGTTAAAATTTTGAGCACAATAGATATTAAATTTTTAAAGCATTTCGTTAATAATTCCTATAAAAAATCTAGTATTAAATTTTATAGATTCTTCAGTTGAATTATTTGAATGAACAATAAGCTTTCACTTTCTTTTGTCTCTTTCTTCCATAACCCAAATAATTCTTCTAAGCTAAGCACACTGCTTTCTTTTCTTTCTTTCATAATTACTTAACTGAACATTAAATATTTTAATAAGAAAATTTTGTCAGAATGATACACCAGACACCATATTCTGGGCAGCCCTGTAACCTTGTTTTGATATTCTTATAATGCAATTGAAATTCATGGAGCTAAAACAAATTGTGTGAATATATTATAATAACCGAATGAGTCTTGAAATGTTAGAATATTTATGTATTGCATCGATAAGCTACAACATTCAAAGATTTAAAAAGAGTTTTTTGGCATTGCAAAAAGAAGCTGGTACTTACGTGTTATTGCAACCACCTCAGTAGCGTGTTATTGCAACCACCTCAGTAGGAGTTGCCAAATTTTCAGAATGTGCCAAACTCTGGCAACCATGTCATTTTCAGGCAACCATGCTTATAACACTCTTTCAATCAAGAAACGTCGCCATTTCGCATGCGTATTTTTTGTTGTATTTTAACGGCTTGTATAAACAAATGGTGGCAGTCTACGCCTTAATTTTAAAATATGAGATTGTATAATTTACCAACAATGGAAGAAACTGCGAGAAAATTCCTGCAGGAATACAGAATTTTTCCCCTCAGTATCTCTAAAGGGACCAACGAGGAGATGCATTTAGTAGATAGGCAGTGATGTCGAGATTTGAGCGATGTCAAACCTTTGTAATTCTCCGATGTTTGTTCAAGCGAAAGCAAATCACTGTAATTTCGAGGAGAAGAACAATGTAAAAAAATTACAGAAAGATTTAGAGACGAATGTAAAGTGTTTCATTTTTTAAATATATTAAGTAAGCCTTATTTAAAAATTCAAATTTTAATTTTAAATGGCTAAAATATGTTGACTTTTCATGTGTTGATAATGCTTGCCGACTTACAGTAATCATCAGTACTTCGAAAATCATTTTGAAAAAAGTCGCGAAAACAACTAGCACGCACCCGATAAGTAATTTATACCTTTTCATCCGTAAAAAATCGCGAAATTGCGCAGTGGTTGCGCTAATATGTAAGTATCCGGAGATTTTTCGAACCTGCGGTGAACTAGATATAAGCTTAGTTCATATAATAAAAAAATAAATAAATAGACTGAAATGATATTGCGAATGGAAGATGAAAAAAAAAGGTGTTTTCATTCAAAGCGACTAGCATCCGAATAACAGGCAAACTCAAATTCAGGTAGGATGGCTGACTTGAGAAAGACACTACTGTTCTCTGCGCCACAGTCCTTCAATTTTTGTAATCAAGAACTGGAGAACAGTGGCTAAGAATACATCAGCTTGGATTCAGAAAGCCGTGGTCTACCTCGCATAATCACACAACGTAAGGTTAGTTTTTAAATTATTGAAGACACAAGTCTAGAATCAATATCTAAGAAAGAAATATCTACTACGAAAAAGTTACCTTTTTGCAACAGTCTATATAATTTAAAAGTCAAACAACAAAAATGTTATTTTAACCTAAATCTATATAATCTCAAACTATTTGTTTAATGCTGATATAAATATAATAAAATATACAGCATGTGTATGTAGGCAAATATGCTCACTTGAACATTTTGGATATTCATTTATAAAATCGTACCATTTAAAAGATTTACATCATAAAACATATGTCAACTGTCAAGGTTTTAATGAATAATTACCGCATTTGTTTTCTAAAGCAGGTCTCTTGCTATTTTTTCGTCCAATCGTCGTCAGCCAGGCTGCAGGTCGCATCAAGGCACCACCTAGAACACCATGAAGTGTGATACCTGCCATCATTAAGAACGCACCCCTTAGTCCAAATTCTTCAACAGCTAACTCGACTATGGGAGGCAATGCAAAGGATCCCGCTGTGGCACCAGCGCAAGCTATGCCAGCGCCGGTGCTCTTGTATTGCACGAAGTACTGGTTGATGATGACTGGAACTAAGGTAACAGCCAAACCGACTCCGACACCTAGACACAGAAAAAAAATTAATTGGTAGGCAATTTTTATTCGGGGGGGGGAGGAATAATCAAATATACTTTTAAGTAAATTTTAAAGACAAATGAATATTAAAATAAAACTGGATATTGAAAACTCGCCCTCGTAACCTCGTTGTTAGCACTTAGAAGCAGCGCCGTACTATATAGGAATCGAAGACATAACTTTATTTCGTTAAACAAGAGCGAGGTCAGTAAGAAATGCAGTTTAATAGTTTTTGCCAAACTGAATGTATGAGTATTAATTGCTTCTCTTTAAGAAACTAACTTTCCTCCTTGAAGACATCTTCCCAATGGCCGTTAGCTTTCATATGAAGTTACTGTACTTAATTAATTACTTATGTACTTTAATGGCATGCTATGTACGACATGTACGGCCTTACTATGTACGGTATTGCTAATAATGTCAAGTTGAATAGTATAATCGCCAACTAATTGATAATATCCAGTTTTAGTTATACAATATATAATTATTTCTTCCAATTCGAAAATCGATATGTACTATCTAGACCAGAGGTCCTCAAACAATTTTGCCCATTGTACCCCTTTAATCATCGCTAGAGGATAATTCTTCTCCCTCTTTCCAAAACTTGAGAAATAAATATATATATTTATCAAGATTATTTATATATTATTTAGATGATTTTTTAAATGAAACAACTACAAAAAGAAACAAATTGTAAGAAATGTTGATAAATACCAAAACTTTATCAAAATTAGTAATTTTTGTTCAAGAACAAAAACTAAAACTTCACAAATAAGTAAAAGCTTGAGCTCATTCCTCTTAAACTATGAAATTCTCCCCAAGGCGGGAATTCCTATCAGTTTGAGAACCTCTGGTCTAGAAAGTTCTATTAAAAATTGTGGACATAAAGATTGTTGAAGACGGTTTAGGAATTTTTACTTTAAAAATATATCTATTGCAGTTCTTAGTAAATTAATTTTTTATATGATTTCGTCTCTAGAGTAACTAAAAATATGCATCTTCATTGGAACAACAAAGCAAGGGCTTCAGCATATCAAATGATTTTTAACCCTTCAATAACTGTAATGTACAGTGTAGATACGCTTTTGCAGAAATTTTTATAAACTGCGCATAAAATTTCGTTGCAAATATCCACAATTATTGAAGCAAATAGTTTATTGCTTCTTTTTTAATTGAATGTCTATCGCAATTTATACTATTAAAAATACGTGCGCGTCTGTTTGTTTGTTTGTGGCATCGTCTCCTCTGGAGTGGCGAGGAGTTGAGTTTTGAGAGAGGTACCCCCGTATTCCAAAAATTCGTGGGAAGTCATTTCGACGATTCTCATCTTCGTACGATTTTAATAAGCCGGGATATTAATTAAAACCTCTGAAAATGCTAATTTTAGCACTCATTTTTCCGAGTGGCAACAGTCTCGCGTGCTGGAGATAACTTGTTTCATTTAAAAGTGTTGCCATTTTCAAATCGTAGAGTTTATTAATGAAAAATTAATTAATTATATTATTATTTTATTAATGAAATAAAAATAGCATTGCCAAACATTAAACATATTATTATTATTATTATATAATGTCATATTCTGAAGTAGAAGAAAGCACGCGATTGCATGTGACGTCATTGCATGTCGAACATGGACTTTATAAGAGATAGACTAACCCAGTGGGCGGGGCGCACGTCATCGACATGTCGGCAAGAAAGAGTAGGGACGATCTGGTTTACTTTAACACTGAAACCTATGGCGTTTGTATCATATAACTCTTTTTAATTATTGTTGTATAGTGATGAGATTATGAAAGCCAGAGTTTTTTCCAAATAAGATTTAATATATCTCATTAAAGCACTTTTTACTGCATTTCGCGCATTTTTTTCACGCGTAATTCTTGTTTACTTTGGTAAAACGGTAAAAACTCTAAGCACAAAATTTATGAACTTAATTTTGCGTACAAATAACGTAAAATTAAATAAGTGTGTGTGTGTGAGATTATGGCAAAGCCTCGAGGGCTATCTGCCTAAGAGGAGGGATGCCTTCGTGGAGGACTTTCTAAGGGAAACTGGCTCGTATACACGAAACAAACCGCCATGCAGCCAGCCCGTTCGCGGGATTCGAACCTCGGACCGAACTACCAGTGTTCAGCGACTTTACCGCTCGGCCGCTGGTGGGCCTTAAAATTAAATAAGATTGATAGTACGTGATGCTTTGAAATAAATAAGGTAAAAATTAAACAAGTTCTGATTTTTTTTAACTTAATGACCATTTTCAGGCTGTGATTTTCAAAACTATAATAACATTACAAAACAATAATTTATTTGATTATATCATCATTAACTTATTAACATTAAAGTGGAATATTTATTTTAGTAATTTATAAAATTCGGAGCATAAAATTTTCTGAGTGTAATGAAGGGGGAAAAAAGGTAAAATAAAATCTAGAAGCACCCATTCTATATTACGCTTAAAAGGAACCTTTTTTTAACATTTTATGTGCTACTTATATTTATTGAATATCATGTTCTTCGCCAGTAAACCACATACATTTGAAAACAGCATATCTTTAGAATTTCCGCACTGGAGATAAAACTGTTATTTTCCGTACAGTGCTCGCTCTGAACTCGTTGAGTTTGTTAATCGAAAATTCGTTAAAGTTTTACAAAATATGAAATAGATTAAAACAAATTCGAAATTCGGCCGTCCAGATGCCAATGTTCGGGTGGAGGATTACATTATTCAAAATTTGATGTCTCTAAATACCGTCATTTTTGTCACAGTGCGAGAAACATACATGTATTCATGCAGATTCTTCATTATTTAATTTCTTTAAATATAATACAGGGCGATAGTATTTGGTAACAACAATTTGCAAGGAGACACACATTTATAGTAAAACAGCGCAAAATGCCGCTTCGAAACTAACAGCCTTTCTAGGCTACCGCCCCTTTGGGCTAATAAATTAAATTAACAGTAAATAAAAAAAAATCTTATGCAGAACTAAAAATAAATTTAAAAAATAATCACTATAAAATACAAGCAAAATTAATTATTACGGTTAAATACAATTTTAATATTAGAATTAAATGTATAAAAATTTTTAAGGAGGCAAAAGTGTTATCACTATGATGTATTATAAAATATAATTGAAATAAAATTCCTTTACAGAAATTGTGCTATAATACTCATCTATAATTTTGAAAAAAGCAGCACAATTTAGAATTTTAAACAAAACTTTCAAAAATTCGTTTTTAAATATTTTAGTATTTTTTACTTATTTACACCAATAAAAGCATAAAAATTGCAAGGGAAAATTGCTTGTTTGAAATTTTCTATTAGATCAGATTAAAAATATTATTTTCTAAAAGAAGTAGTTACAAATTTCCTTACAGAATAAAAAAGCTAAAAATTATCCAGCCCTGAAAGCATGCAATAGCTTTATAATTATTTGGAACGTTAATTATGCTTGATAAATACGCTAAATTTTTAAAAATCAATCTTAAATTCAAAAATAAAAATATGTAGAAATTCTAATTTGTGAAATGAGGCGTTACACCAGCTTTTTCTGGACAATTATACACGCTGCAATAGGTAACCACTGTTAAATTTCTGCAAGTCGTCCCTACTCCTCCGGATGTGATCAAGGTGACATCCGGGAACGCCTCAGACGAGGGAGGAAACCCATTTGGGTTAGTCTATTTCTTATAAGGTCCAATGATGTCGAAATGTTTTCGTTAATATCAGCGTTTTAAATAAATAGTTGCTGTCGGCAACACCTTTGTTTCAGGTTAGGATAACTGACACGATATCAAATATATACTGCCACGTTATTTCTTTTATTGATACTGAGAAAAAGTTGTTATATTACATTAAATTTGAATCAAAATATACAATCAAGATATCATACATATATGATAAATACATTATTGCCATAGGTCGTACATCACAAATTTATTCAACAAGTGTGAAAAGTTTTTGTTTCCTGGTCTGTCAACGAAAAAATTACTTACGAATTGGTTGTTGCTTGGAAAGACTGAACTGATTGCATTCATAATGAAATGCTTTTATACATTTTTTTTTTCGTGTATACGAGCCAGTTTCCCTTATAAAGTACTCCACGAAGGGATCCCTCCCCTTAGGCAGATAGCCCTCGAGGCTTTGCCACAATCACACACACACATTTTTTTTCAGGTGAAGGTAGATATTATAAATTTTGCTTTGGCCATAGCCCGCTAGTTAAATGATAAAACCGTTTAGTCCATGCGTCAAAGAAGAATTAGATCGAAAAATCCTATAATTATTATCACGTCTATTTCTATAATACGAAATTCACCAGCAAACATATTTGCAGTTAAGCAATCGCTGTCTCTTTTGATAAATAAATATTATATAATTTAAGCTTGCAGACATTAACAGATTGTTAACTTTTAAATGCATTTAACTTTTTTTTTACCCTAAAATATATTTCTAAAGATCATTTCCAGAATTAATTTGCATAAACATATACATGCTATAAAATGTTTTAATAAATTAAAAAATTTGGAATAATCCATTTAATGCATATTGTGCATAAGGTAATTTACTCTAAACAGTTATTACGCTATACAAATTAAATCTCTTTAATTCATTTAAAGCATAATATGTATACCAGATTTATAGCAAGCAAGGTATTCCTTTTGTAGCGGAATTTTAAATTATTGCATATCGCCTCTGTTATTGCAATAGGTCATACATCACAAAATGCCTTCTTTTAACATCAAAAATACACTCAACAGGCAAATAACGATATCTAAGATATCTTCAGCTCTTGCAAGAACGTCATGTGCATCAGGAAATTAAGAGAATAAGTACGAACATGCACTAGTGTTTCAAGTTGGCTAAACACCTTTTATTTATTGATAGTCATAAATTATGAACAGCCTTTTACAATGTTATTGAAATTTTACATTTATTCTTCCTCCTTTTTCTTTTCTCGTTCTTTCTCTCTATCTGGTTGTTATC